CTACTGAGTTGAGCGATGCACATATGAAATTTTTATGTTTTGGTAACACATAAGAAATGTAAACTAATAAGAAATCTGAACGAAAATGCCAAATCCCAGTTCAAGAACGGACTATCTACAAACAGAGGGAAATCGTCCAAAAAAAACAAGGTAAACAAGAAATAACTAGCAATCTACCAAAGGATTGATAGTGATTTGCAGCAGCAACAGCGGGGGTGTAAAACTCGGATTTTCACTTCAGTATGTTTTTTGCCTTAGCTCAACAGTCCAATCCATCTTGTCCTGTGTGAGGCCCATCTGTAGTCTGGTAAGCACTGAGTAAAGCTTTTCCGACACAGTTCCAAACCCGCCCTCTCCATAAGACACCCTGCACAAAACAAAGATGATTATTTTTTCTTCGAATCTGGTATCCACTCAACTCAGTTGAATGCGGGAGGCCCTATATCTATAAGCAAGAGAGCTTCACATTATGAATAAGAGACATCTATTGCGATGCAATAAATAGCATTTACCATAATAGCTATATATGTGAGCCATATTAAATTGAAAAAGGCATTTTCACCCCTTATAAGAGGTGGACAGAATCAGGAGCAGATTGTTTTCTCCCCCCGCAAACAAGGAAAGGCCGAAGAAGACAACTTTATTTCCCCATATTGAGGAAAAAAATTTAAATGCCGGAAACCTTTTCCCATCTTGTTGGAGCACAAAGAAAAACTTGCTTTCAGACCAAAAAAGAGAACAGAAAAACACTCTTCGACACATTCACTAGACATAGAAAATTTACCTTTTACCATGGTAAGTGATGCTGCCGACAGGTGATACAACCACAGCTGTTCCCGTACAAAAGACTTCATCAGCATCTAGTAATTCATCAACTGCCACTTGGCGCTCCTCAACCTGCTCATTATTAGATAGGGGTTGGGAAATGAAGTTACTCAATAACACATTTAAGCTACTGTCAGAAAAAGTTGTAATACACGTTGCATACTGAAGAATCAATGCAAACAATTTTTTTTTATTTTTAAAAAGACTAGAACAGTATACCTTTCACTATCTAGTAAACAAGAAGCAAGGACAAGGTTAA